TTTTCAGCGGAAGAAAGAAACAACGATGAGACAACTATTTATCGTTATCGCTTTCTTGGCAACAACTGCTTTGGTAAGTTACAGTAATCTAAGTTTAGAACTACTCTTTTCTTTTTCTGCTACAAAAAAAGTACCACTTTAACTGGTATTTCAAGAAATTGTTTGTTGATTTAAACAGTGTATAATCTGGTAAAAAAGCGAAATTTTATATGAGATAATTAAAGCGAAATAAACTCAGCTAAACAAATTAATGAAAAAAGTTCAGGTCTTTATTTTTGTCAAATTTCAGACCTTTTTTAAAGAATCAATAATAATTACTGCTCAATAATAAATTTATTTAAACAGATGCAAGAAAAAGCACGCGGTAAAACAGAACTGTTTTTGCCAACAAATATGTACTTGACATACATTGCAGTTTTCAAAAATACGAAAAGTTTTTCTTTATTTATAATTATGTTGTTTTTTAACTTTTTTTTTCTTTGCAGTGCTGTCCTCCAGCTACAACAAATTCAACAACAGCAGCAAACGCAACAACAACACCAACAAATTCAATGACAACAGCAACATCAACAGCATCAACATCAGGAGCAGGGCCAAGTAAGTCGTGATGAAAATTATTCAACTGCTAAACTCTTACTTACCTTTCTTCACTTTTTCAGCTATCTCCTTTTCTCTTCAAATTATTCAGATAAATGCTGCTAAATACAATTATGTTCACATAGTAGTTTTCTTAAATTAACAACACACCAAATGTTCACCACATGTAATCTTTAGAACACCCAAAACTTCGAAAGACCAGGTTGATATTTTCAAGTATATTTTTTGAACAATAGTTAAGAAGAGGTAGAAGATAAGCAGTATTAATTTTTTATTCTTCTTATCATTCGCAGTTTTCAGACGAAAGCACAGGTAATCGAGACAAACAAAAGTCGCTTTTTTTTATTATTACTCTTTTTTTAACCTGTAAAACAGAAAATTCTAACTGGAGGAGCAAGTGTAATTCCAGTTGTTGCGTACAGAAATTTTTAACAGTCTGTGACAATTGAAAAACAACTGTTGATGCTTGGAAAAAGTTGAAAATCTGTGCCGCACCTTTACTTTCGGTATCCTAAAACTCTTTTTGCATTAAACATTAAGTAGAAATTGTTGCTGTCCAGATATAAAAAGCTTTTTTTAGAATAGTTGA